TATAAACCAATACACACATACACACACACACACACACACACACACACACACACACAAACAAACAAGGAAGTTTCATCCAATAAACAATCTCACTTTACATTTCAGTGCTGTTACTATATAGTTATAATGTTCTAATGAATATGCATAAACTTGAATAAAAATGTGTACATCATTTGTGAAGAAGCTTGTAAATATACTTGTAATATATTATTGTAAATACACTATTATTATATCATATTTATTAATTATATTACATTATATTATTGTAGTCAGCTGCCTAGGACATCAATTATTGATATAACAATTATTATAATTTTAGTTCTAATGAATATATATGACATTAATGTACTTAATAATTCACTTATTTTTGTGAAGATGTTTGTAAATACACATTATTATTATTATTATTTACATAGTATTATTACTATATAGCTACATATTTTGTATTAATTATTACGATATTATATTATTATTGAGTTGATTGCCTGTGAAATCAATAATTGTTATATTAATTTATGTGTAATTATTTGTAATTTGTGTATGCCTAATTGTTATCTTATATTATTTAACTTGTATTATAGATAGGCCTATAGAACATTCATATAATAAAATATTTCTCAGTATGACTGGGCAGTCCCTGACTGTCTCTAAGTATCTCTCTGTGGTCTCGGAAAATAATTTAATTTCAACTCATCATATACATCAATATGATCATAGCTACTGATTTAATAAGTAGACATTTAATACCAATTCAGTAATGCAGGCAGTTGATAATTATTTTTTTTGACAAAATATATTTTTTAAATATACTTTAGGCTATTATGGTCTTATATAAAAGTTAAAAGCTGCTCCTCATGACCACTTAATGTCAAACCTGTTTATTTTGCAATAATGTTCAGCTGACTGGTCGTTTATACCTATACTTTATAGAGGCAAAGAGTACTTTTATCCATAATAGAATTTGCTAGAAGGATTGAAGCATCTGAGGTGTGATCTGAAGTTTTGCACTGATGTGTGTGAGCGGGTACATGTGTGTAACCCTTGCAACTGGCGTCACGCATCGGCCACACACACACACACACACACTGAGAGTGAGTGAGGATCTCTGTGCGCAGTGCGGAGCTGAAAACATGAGCAGCGTTGCATTGATCATCAGGGTTTGTGCATGATGCATTAGACACACACAGGTGTGATTTGACAGAGATCATGCGTGCGATGCGCTCGAGCGTCTCTTCGCGGGGAAAGTGTCTTCATGAGTGTCCAAAGTAACAGCAACAGCACTGGAAGTTTGGACGGAGCGCCATCTTGCTCTCAGTTCTCGACTGGATCTCCGACCCTGGGCTCAGTTTCTCCGCTCGATATCTGCGCTCCGCGGAGGCGTAAGGAAGGTAAAACCGGCGTGAATGTCAATTTGAAGTTTGCTCGTTTGAAATAGGTCGGGATTGTATAAGATTGACGTGTGATTTTGAGTAAATCTGGCCTCGAATCGAAGCGGTCGTGTCGGAGGCCGCTGATCTCTCGTCTGCTGACTGTGATTCTCTGTGTTTTTATAACAAGCATCGAGTCCTAGACACGAGCTGCTGTGTTTTAAACTGTTTGCGATGGAATTCTGTCGCTTTTTGTGTTGATCGCACGCTTACTTTGACGCGAGGATGCCCATGGTCACCTATTAGGGAACTCAGTCACTGGCCGTGTCTCAAATCCTAGCGAGATGATTACCTAGACTGCATTTTTTTGGGCATCATAGGTGCGTATTTGTTGTGCTTTTTAATGTTGCCCCAACATGCTGTCTTTGTGTCTAGGTAGGCATATATTAATTTATGTGTAATTATTTGTAATTTGTGTATGCCTAATTGTTATCTTATATTATTTAACTTGTATTATAGATAGGCCTATAGAACATTCATATAATAAAATATTTCTCAGTATGACTGGGCAGTCCCTGACTGTCTCTAAGTATCTCTCTGTGGTCTCGGAAAATAATTTAATTTCAACTCATCATATACATCAATATGATCATAGCTACTGATTTAATAAGTAGACATTTAATACCAATTCAGTAATGCAGGCAGTTGATAATTATTTTTTTTGACAAAATATATTTTTTAAATATACTTTAGGCTATTATGGTCTTATATAAAAGTTAAAAGCTGCTCCTCATGACCACTTAATGTCAAACCTGTTTATTTTGCAATAATGTTCAGCTGACTGGTCGTTTATACCTATACTTTATAGAGGCAAAGAGTACTTTTATCCATAATAGAATTTGCTAGAAGGATTGAAGCATCTGAGGTGTGATCTGAAGTTTTGCACTGATGTGTGTGAGCGGGTACATGTGTGTAACCCTTGCAACTGGCGTCACGCATCGGCCACACACACACACACACACACTGAGAGTGAGTGAGGATCTCTGTGCGCAGTGCGGAGCTGAAAACATGAGCAGCGTTGCATTGATCATCAGGGTTTGTGCATGATGCATTAGACACACACAGGTGTGATTTGACAGAGATCATGCGTGCGATGCGCTCGAGCGTCTCTTCGCGGGGAAAGTGTCTTCATGAGTGTCCAAAGTAACAGCAACAGCACTGGAAGTTTGGACGGAGCGCCATCTTGCTCTCAGTTCTCGACTGGATCTCCGACCCTGGGCTCAGTTTCTCCGCTCGATATCTGCGCTCCGCGGAGGCGTAAGGAAGGTAAAACCGGCGTGAATGTCAATTTGAAGTTTGCTCGTTTGAAATAGGTCGGGATTGTATAAGATTGACGTGTGATTTTGAGTAAATCTGGCCTCGAATCGAAGCGGTCGTGTCGGAGGCCGCTGATCTCTCGTCTGCTGACTGTGATTCTCTGTGTTTTTATAACAAGCATCGAGTCCTAGACACGAGCTGCTGTGTTTTAAACTGTTTGCGATGGAATTCTGTCGCTTTTTGTGTTGATCGCACGCTTACTTTGACGCGAGGATGCCCATGGTCACCTATTAGGGGACTCAGTCACTGGCCGCGTCTCAAAACCTTTCGAGATGTCTACCTAGACAGCATTTTTGGGCATCATAGGGGCTTATTTTTTGTGCATTTTTATGATGCCCCAGAATGCTGTCTTTGTGTCTAGGTAGGCATCTCCCTTGGGTTTTGATATGCAGGCAGTCTGATAAATATAAGTTGATGTTTTTGAGGTTTAAAGTATGTATTTATCACTCGTGTGCAATGCAAAGGCTCAAAAATGAGACCGAGTCTGTACCTGATAAACATGAGTTGCTGTCTGTGTGTGTGCTTGAGAATGTTTATTACCCGTGGCCTGAAATGCTAGGTAGGTAGAAACTAACTGGAGTTTAGGACATTGGCAGTATCTGGTAAACATGAGTTGCTGCTTTTATTGGTATTTATTTACCTAGTACTCTATGCATGCAGTGGCTGTCTAGGTAGGCAGGTTAAGTGATATTTTAAGGTTGACAGTATATATTTTCTCATGCATGCTTTCATGCATTGCAAGGATTTTGAGACACAACCAGCTATATGATACATATGATACGAGTTGAAGCAGTGATTCTAAAATTCTGTATAGGTTGGCAGGTCTATATCTAAGCCGATGTTTACGCTTGAGAATCCAGTCAGCAATGCATGTAGGATGATGTGTAGGTAGGCATCTCACTGGATTTTAATAAAATGCTAAGTACCTGATAAACATGATTTTTATGTTTTCATGCTTGAAAGTATTGAATTATTTATCTAGCACTCGATGCATGTTATGCTATAGCTCAAAAATGCTGTCTAGGTAGGCAGCAGTCTAGGTTTTGAGACACAACTAGTACTTGATACACAGTAGTTGGTGTTTAAGTGTGAGAGTGTTTATTTATCAGTATGAAATGCAGCAGCTCAGAAATGTTTTCTAGGTAGGCATGTCAAATTTTGGTGACACATGATAAACATGGATTGGTGTGGTTGTGTATTATTTATTTCACAAAAAATAATATGCATTTGTTGGAGAGGTGTTGCATCTTTGTTTTTGTTTTTTTTCCTGGAATCATCCAAATGGGTTTGAACCTTGAAGCAAAAGACCATCTGATACACATCTGAATGAAATGCATTATTTAGGTCATACGGTTTCCTTTGTTTTTGATGTGTTTTTTAATGAACCTAAGTTGCACCGGTTGTTTCCTGTGATATCTAGCATATCCACCAGAGACCAGTCTGTGTTAATATGTGCTGCAAACATGTGTCTGTGCACTGATGAGTGTAATATCATATGTGTTACTCAGATTCTCATGTCCAAGAATAAGTTCTCCGCCATGTATTGGCAGGCTCTGCCTTTAATTTTTATCAGTGTTTTGAAAGAGCGGAGCCTTTTACCTGCTTGTGCTTTTTTGCATTCACAAAAAAAGTGTTTATTTAAAATAAATGCTGTTCTTCTAATTTCTATTTATCCAAGAATCCTAAAAAAAAATGCATCGATTTCCACAAAAATAAGAAGCAGAACAACTGTTTTCAGCATTGATAGTAATAAAATAAATTTCTTAGCATATTAGAATGATTTCTGAAGGATCATGTGATGCTGAAGACTGGAGAAATTCAGCTTTGCATCACAGGAATAAATTGTGTTTTAAAGGGGTCATATGACGTTGCTAAAAGAACATTATGTTGTGTATTTGGTTTAATGCAATGTGTTTATGCGGTTTAAGGTTCAAAAAACACATTATTTTCCACATACTGTACATTATTGTTGCTCCTCTATGCCCCGCCTTTCTGAAACGCGTCGATTTTTACAAAGCTCATCGTTCTGAAAAGCGAGGTGTGCTGTGATTGGCCAGCTATCCAGTGCGTTGTGATTGGCTGAATACCTCAAGCGTGTGACGGAAATGTTACGCCCCTACCATACTGTGATGCCATCTCCCGGCACAACGAGACAAAACCAGTAAAACCTATTACAAATGAGGCATTTGTTGCATCCAGTGGGGACATAATTACTAATTATAATGACTAGTGTTGTCACGGTACCAAAATTTCAGTATTCGGTACCGATACCAGTGAAAATCCACGGTTCTCGGTACCAATTTCGGTACCAAAGCAAAACACAAAAACATGCTAATTGAACAACATTTTTATTAATAACGTTAAACAAAAATTAAATGTACAAAACCAATGCCATTCTTTATACTCATTTAAAAGTGTTTCAAGTTTTCTCACAAGTAATAAAAGTAAGAAAAAAGTAAACAAGTTTCACCCAGAAGTTTAGTCATAGTTCTGCTGCCGCTGAAAAACATCTGTAAACTGTTGTCTGTTTTAGGGTTTGCTGGTGTGTTTCAGGATCTTCCTCAGTCTGCAGCTGTAAAAGAACAATATAATATACTCTCCAAAGAGAAAGGAAAAATTGAAATCGCATCATATGACCCCTTTAAAATATTTTCAGATTGAAAACTGGTATTTTAAGTTCTTACAATATTTCAATATTTTTTACTAATTGTTTGTTTTTTAAATACTAATTTATAAATGTAAGATTTTTTAAAACTTAAATAGCATTAATATTTACCCCAGGAATTGATTTTCAGGCATTTTTAGCATGGTTGGTGTGTCATCCATGCCATTTTTTTTTTTAAATACTTCAATTGATTGAGTAACTGAAATTGTCAAGTTGAGCAATTATGGCTTTTATTGATTAAAATTAAATCAACATCAGATATAAAAGCAGCTGTAAAAATGCACAAGATTACCATGGTTCAGCCATGGTGCATGAAGGAAATATAATAATATAAAAGTAGGCTATTCAATGTATTCATAGTCTATAAGAAGTTGGATCATTATTGTTTTATAATATTTAGTGATCTCTTGATGGACAAACTAGGATGTGGCTTATGTGTTTCCTGGTCATTTGCTTTCACTCATTTCCACTCCACCTTCTGCGTGTTTGGGAGGTGTCTTATTTAGCCCAGCGCTGTTTTCTTTGCTGCTCGGGTTATTTGCCAAAGCAGACGTGGCCTTAGGTTTATGTTTACTCATTCCCAGTGGTTTGATTTATAATCTGTGTCCTTTATCTGGGCAGCTGTGCTCTTCCTGCCCTGTTGACCTTCATAATTTTCCACCGATCCACCATCTTGGGATCTCTTTGGCTTGGAGCTCTTTCTGGCACGAGTCTTATCATGGCAGTGGTGTCGGACGCATCCACTGCGCCGGTGTTTATGGCTGGAGAACACAAGTGAAGCTGAGCTGTTTTGTCTAGTCACTGTAATAGAGTTTGAAGACCAGATGCTTTCTTTAGGCAGGTTTTATAGTGATGATTCATGCTGTTATTAGCTGGTTGTTCTTATCGGCTGCTGATACTGTATTAGTCTCATGTGCTGAAGAAACGGGGGTCATTTGGCTGCTGCTTCAATGGTGATGATGAATTCTGTCTTCAGGCATCTGCTGCCAGATCATGTCAAACATGATAGGAATAGTTGAACCAAAAATTTAATTCTTAGACTATTTAATCAGCATTCTTAGCAGATTAATTACATGTTTGCACAAAATTTACAGCACCATTCAAAAGTTTGGGGTCGGTAAGATTTAAAAAAAACTTTTTTTTTTAATAAAGTCTCTTATGCTCCTCATCAAGGTTGCATTTATTTGGTCAGAAATGCACTAAAAACTATAATATTAGGAAACATTCTTACATTTTAAAATGACAGTTTTTTTATGTGAATGTATTATAAAATGTAATTTATTCCTGTGATCAAATCTGAATTTTTAGCATCATTACTCCAGTCTTCAGTGTCACATGATCCTTCAGAAATCATTCTAATATACTGATTTGCTGCTCAAGAAGCATTTCTGATTATTATCGAATTTGTATATATGTTCATATTTTTGTAAAAATATGATAAGCAGCGTTCATTTGAAATAGAAATCTTTTGTAGCATTATAAATGCCTTTACTGTCACTTTTTATCGATTTAATGCATTCTTGATGAATGAATTAAAAAGTCTCACTGACCCCAAATTTTTGAACAGCGGTGTATGTATGGTAGTCTATATGACCAAGTATTATCTGTAATATTGAGGTCACAGTGATATGTGGAAACACACATTAACATTACATTCTTATGTTAACTTGTAGATTGTGTCGTCAATGTTTACTGAAGCTAAAATAAGGTGATGGAGCTATGCTGTCAGTGGCATCAGCTGATAATGAGCAGGAAACGTCTCAAAGTACTTCCTGTTTGTAATCCTCACTCCAGCAGAAAGAAGCTCAGTTGAAGTTTGCTGTGAAAAATGAAAATGGATAAAAGAGCAGATGGAAAAATGTGGATGGGCAGATGTGAAGCACATCTTATTGTACACATATCGTTGTCAAAGTCTGGCCATTTTGAAACGAATTAATATACGCATGTAAGTCTGATGTGAGTGTAGGCCTAGTTCTGTAGCTGTAAACCTTTTCTAGGTACTTTGCCTTTAAACCAGTATTCTGAGTAGGTGTATGATCTTCTGGCTCCTTTAGGGTGGCATAGCATCAGAAAACAATGACTGGATGGTCTCGTAAGATTCCAGGAGGTTGTGTCACTGTGATCACACCCCTCCCGAACCTCAACCCTGCGTACCTGTGTGTGAACGTGTTGAGATTGACATGTGATTGTGTGTGTCTGTAGGTATGGATGAACTGCATTCTCTGGATCCACGCCGGCAGGAGCTTTTGGAGGCACGTTTCATCGGAGCAGTTAGTGGAAATACAGGAGGAAGCACGGGGAGCGCGAGTGGAGGACCTAAAGTAATGCACACGCATGCAAACACACATGCACATATGCTTAGTTTGTGTGCATTTGGGCTGGATGATGTTTTGGATTCTTGGCCATATTGTCCAGCCCTAGTTTCATTGTATTTTTATTTTGAATTAATTATTATTTATATATAATTTTAATTAATAATTTTATTTTTGATCATTTTGATTTAAATATATTTATATATATGTCTATGTACAGGGGTGTGCATGAGGGACCGAAAAAAAAAAATGCGCTGTGCAAATACGTTCAGACCACTCATTTGGGTACCGACATGGTTGACAGCTGTTAATGCACAATTACAATTTTAGATTGACAAACTGTACTGTATAAGATTTCTATTCCAACTGAAAGCATAAATCTAGGCTACCTGCTGCCGTTTTCAAAGCGCGGTGCAAAACTGACGTTATTCAATTGGCAGCCCTAACCCGGAAGCACATATACTTACTAAAATAAAATCTTGCTGATTTTAAGTTTGAAAATGATTCATATAATTCATATAAAAAAGTAAATATTAGCATTTTATTTTAAGTTTGTTCTATAAAATAGTTGTATTTGTATTTAATACTCTTTTTATTTTAAAATATAATAGTATTATCACACTTTATTATTTTATTAAAAACAAACAAATAAATAAAATGCAATAATGTTATTATCACTCTTATTAATTTATTTTTTAAAGTTATATTTAGTGGTTCGCAGTAAAGGTGAGGACCAAACCAAATCTCCAGGTTCTCTTATGAGAACCAGGCTGAAAAACATATGTGGACCCCTGTCTATTTATTTCCTTGAATATGGCTGAATTGGATTTCTCGTTTTAAAACTGAAAAAGCATCATCCGGGTAATTAAACAAAATCTTTAATGCAAGTTGTGAAATATAGTATAGTATACAATTATTTTCCCACATTAAATATTTACAGTTTTCACTAAAAATGTGCTAATTTTCTTATGCATCAATTTGAACTAAATGTATTACAAAAAGCTAAATTTACTTACATATATTAAAACTTTTTAGTAAAAAAAATAATAATAAAGAAAAATTCCTTTCATGGACTTTGTGAACCTTTTTCATTTGGAGCGATGACTAAAAATAATCATTGAATGAGAGTAGGGAATTAATTAATTAAAGGGATAGTTCACCCAAAAATGAAAATTTGATGTTTATCTGCTTACCCCCAGGGCATCCAAGATGTAGGTGACTGTTTCTTCAGTAGAACACAAATTATGATTTTTAAGTCCAGCCGTTGCAAACATCACATTTTCATTTTTGGATGAACTATCCCTTTAATATGGTCAGTTTGAAATGATTTACAGAAATGAACTAAACTTACCAACTCTAATGCCGTTTTTCCTTCTGAAGTTTAAATCAGAGGCTCTGCTATAACCGTATTTCCCAACACTCATACTCGCGGAAACTCAAGATGAAACCTGTGCAGTGACACTATACTCATGTTAATGTTGCTTAATTTAGTTTTACCAGTGATATCAGTATGAATATTTCTCATATACAGTATATGAGTTCTATTGTGCACACTCTCTGTAATGGTCATAACCTGTACCAAACCAGCTTTGATCTTTCTATTTAGGGTTTGAACAATAACGAATGTTCCAGTCACAGTTTTGGCAGCCTGGGGTCATCTAGTGACAAGGAGTCTGAGGTGATCATTATACTCATGCATACTCATTGAAGCTTTGTATTTATTGAACAGATCCATTTCAACAATTTGTTTATGTGTTGTCTGTGTCTAAAATGTGTTTTTTTTGCCTGTAAAGAGCTCTGACATAAAGAAAGGAGGATCGCCTGCATATTCAGTGAGTTTGACATTATTTGAATAGGAATGATTGTTAAAAACAAAAATATAATAATGTTCCAAATCCATAAGACCATAAGTGTTCTTCCATGGGACACAAAAGGTGCATTTTTGAATATCTTGGTTGCTGTGTGATGAAAGTGAATGGAAATGACTAATAAGAATCATTAAACTGGTCCATTTGAGTTACGAAGGTATTATGTGATAATGTTGTTGATGTCAAATGTGACATTCCATAATTTGAAAGCTGCAGCGGAGAGAAGATTTTCAGTGAATAACAACTTATATTTTAGTCTCTTCCTTCCGCAATGCTGTATTCTATGTCTTCTAAGGGCAAAACTCTTATGAATCACTTTTGTGATAATTTGAGCATTTTTGTCATTTTGGAGCTTGTCAGCACCTGTCCATATTCACTTTCATTATTACATTGAAAAGAGCATGCAGCATATTAATAAAAAAGTCAAATGGGTTTGGAATGACATGGTAAATGATGTTTTATACAAAGGCAGTCTGGAAGCCTCATTGGTGAACTTGTACAGCTCCTTTGAGGCCTAAATTCAGCTTGGAGCTTACCTAAAGCATTTGCTATTGATTGTATTGATTGAATAGAAAAGTAACGCTTTTTCCTGTTTTCCCAAGACTCCAGAGAAGAAGCACTCCGAGTCATCCAGAGGAAGAAAGAGGAAGGTTGACAACCAATCAGAGAGTAGCCAAGGTAACGTTAACTTCCTTTGTGTATGAATGAAGTACATCTTAATGAGACATAATAGAGTAAGTTTTTCAATAACTTGTTAACCATCCTGGCATTTTGGAAACATTTAAGCTGAGAATCATGTGCTTCATGTTTATTAGGAAATAGAGTGTTTAGTGTTTAGAGCAGAAATTATGACAGAAAAGGGATTGTACCTAATGACCATGTTTTTTTTTTTTTTTTAATCTCTCAGGAAAGTCTTCCGGCCGAGGGCCCAAGATCAGCGATTATTTTGATGTAAGTAAAGCTTTGTGTGGATGACTCTGTGTTTACTCAGCTCTGTATTAAATGTCAGTCAGGTGTCAGAGAGCTTTTAGTCAGAGTAATGCTGCTTTTTCATCTTCTAATGGCTGCTCGCTTCAGTAGATGTTTTTGACTTGTAGAGTTCTGAAATCGCTTGAGCGTCGTTAGTAACATTGTGATGATGTCACATCCTGTTAGTATGTTGTGTGGTGCTGTTAAAAAAAAACTCTGCATATCTCCTTCCTGAAGCTCCAGGGAGGAAACGGATCAAGTCCAGTCAGGGGGCTTCCTCCGGTCCTGCGCTCACCACAGAACTCTCACTCTGCACCCGGCTCTATCGTAAGTGCTGATCTTTGAGATTTGAATATCATGTAAGGAGCCAGTGATGTTGATTTTTTTTTTTTTTACGTTGCTGTTTTTCACTCTTCAGGTCAGACAGAACAGCTCCTCACCCACCAGCCTGTGTTTCATGGATCACACGATGAATCCAAAACAGCTGAGCAGCAGAAGTGTCCAGGTAATACTTGCATCACGTGCTCTTCTCTCCGATTCTGTTAAACATCATGTGTCAGTATGCAGCGCTCTGATAAACGTGCAGTGTATGCTTTATTTGCATTGCACACTGATTCAGTTAAACATCTACACTCTGACACTGAGTGTGTGTATTGCATGCTCTGACACTGCAAAAAGTGCCTTGCACACTGACACTGGATAACATGCACTGTACCCTGACACTGCAAAACATTCACTGCACACTGACACTGCAAAACATTCACTGCAAAACATGCATTGCACACACATTGACTGCACATTGACACTGCAAAACATTCACTGCACACTGACACTGAAGCATTCACTTCACACTGACACTGTTAAATAAGCATTGCATACACTGCCACTGTTTATTGTGTGCACTGCATGCTCTGGCACTGTTAAATATCTTTGCTCTCACACCCTGATGCTATTACACATGCACACTGTACACTATGACACTGTTACAGCAAAATTATCACTGCACAGTAAACAGTTTTACAGGCATGCTGCATGTAAAATGTAAAAAATATGCGTTTTTAAATTATGCATTGCACACTGACACTGCAGAACGTACACTGACGGTGTTAAATAAGCACTGTGTGTGCTGCTGCTGGTGTGTATGTGCACTGCATGCTCTGCCACTGTTAAATATGCTCTCGCACTCTAATGGTGTTACACATGCGCACTGTACACTATGACACTGTTACATCAAAATTTGCACTGCGCAATGACAGTTTAACAGGCATGCTGCATGCTCTGACACTGCAAAATGTGCACTGACACCATTAAATAACCATTGCATACACTGCTGCTATAACATATGTGCACTGCATGCTCTGCCACTGTTTAATACTCTGACACTATGTTGGAACAGAATTTATATATGCACTGCATGCACACATTTACATTACCCTTATATGCCCTTATATGCACTACATGCTCTGACATTGTTAAATAAGCCCACTGGTACTGTATATGATGCACTGTTTACTGTATATCTGGTGATCACACATGCCGTCATGGATATTGTTATTTGCCTTCTCACCACGTTTAACTCTCTTTCCTTCTCTGCTTTCAGACGGATTTGACACAGTTGAAACTGGCTGCACTTGAGAGCAATAAGAATCTTGACCTTGAGAAGAAGGAGGGCAGAATAGATGATCTACTCAGGGTGAGTGTCACCTGTCCTTGAGTTTTTTTTCTTCGTGGCATTTGAATTCAGACATTGAGTGGTTTTAATGTTTTCTCCCCAGGCGAACTGTGACCTCCGCAGACAGATAGATGAGCAGCAGAAGCTGCTGGAACGTTTCAAGGAATGCACTACGATGAGTAAAAAAAAGCTCATTGAGAAGGTTAACTGTGTTTGATATGCTGGCAGCTGCTTATTTCTCATTTGTCAGGGGTGGTTGAGTGACTCTCGAGTGCGTTATCGTCTCACTAGAGCACTCAAGAGAAGCAGTCCTGCCGTGAGAAGAGCATGCAGGACCGGCTACGTCTGGGACATTTCACCACAGTCCGGCACGGAGCGTCCTACACGGAACAGTGGACAGATGGGTATGCCTTCCAGAACCTGGTCAAGTAAGAGTCTCATACAGACACACACTAAAGCTGGTTTTGAACGGTACTGGAAAGAGTGCAAAAATCTACTTTCATACAATATCATCATTTTGCAATTGCAGTATTCAATACTTGACCAGGGCGCCCATGTTCTGCTCAGTGTCATTTTAGTATCACCGTGATACTACTATAGTTTTTATTATTTTGAATTACTTTTTATTTTGATATTTTCTGTTTTCATTTTAATTTTAGTTAAAAGTTTGTTTTTTGTTTAATTATTATTTCAGTTTTGTATTAGTATATCAACTAAATGAAAATGAGAAATATTACCTTGGCAGCTAGCTCAAATGAAATAGTAATATGGATTTTTATGTTTATTAAATTTTTTTTCAGTTGACATTTATTTTATTTCAAGTAACTAAAATGTGTTTTTATGGTTTTAGTTTAGTTAACCCTGGTGCTGCTCATGCCGTGTGACATGAAGCATGAAAGTTAATGCATATGAAGCATAAAAGTTATCCTTAATTTACAGAAATTCATATTATAATTAGTCTGTAAATAAAATACAGATGGGGATGCTGGTGGAATCTAATTAATTAAATATAAAATTTTTGTACAAACATTGATGTAAACGCCATCAGATACAGTGTTATTTTACTATCATTGAGGCACTATTATAATTTTTATTAATATTTTGAATTATTTTTGTTTTCCGTTTTCATTTTAATTTTAGGTAAATTTTTAGCAATTTTAGATTGTGTTTTCGTTATTTTGGTTAGGTGTTTTTATGTGTGTATATCAAGTTAATTTTTTCAGTGTAATTTTAGGACATCAAGCTAAACCAAATAAAAATGTTTAACTTGATGTACTAAAAATAAGTGTGTTTTTACATTTTATTTTATTTTAAAGTAACGAAAAAAAATTTTTGGTTTTAGTTAACTACTGTATAATAACCTTGATCAGGCATGGCAGCAAAAACTTTGTTACATATGTAAGAAAAGTGTGGGTAACTTTGAATGCAATGTAGATCACTTCCATTGTAAATAATAGTAGGGCAAGTCCTTTCTATTCTGCATTTGCATATGTTGTTTTTATTGGGGTTTTTAATATTTAAATATGTTTCTGTGTTGATAGGCAGCAGGAGTGGATAAACCAGCAGAGGGAAGAGATCGAGAGGCAGCGGAAACTTCTAGCGAAGCGCAAACCTCCCAGCACACCCTTCTCCCAGAGCCCGACCCCCAATGAGTCCAAACAGAGAAAGACCAAAGCCGTCAATGGAGCCGACAACGACCCCTTCCTCAAACCCAGCCTGCCTATACTGTGAGACACTTACACACACAAGTACATTCGTTTACTTCCTTTCCAAATGGAGACTTCCCGTTGACTTCTAATGGTATTAAAATGAGACAATTAGGATTAATATAGACCAGGGCTGCACAATTCATCATTTTAAGATCGTTATATAAGGATGTGTGATCTATAGAACACCAAAGGCTGCGATTTAAATAAGTATTTTCTGCAATATTCTCTTCAAAAATGGTTCAGAAACACACGCTGTTATTGAAATGCTTCTGTATTGAATGTGCAGGCTGACTGTGACGGAGTATCACGAGCAGGAAGAAATCTTCAAACTGAGACTGGGTCATCTCAAAAAGGTTAGTCTCTATATAAACACACAATACATACACACTCTCATGTGCATTAGGGTAAGATGGGTAACAGGGAGTAACGTGGAGCATTAGTGCTTCATGCATAAGCAGTCGTGCAGGAATGCTGTTTCAAGTAGTGAAGTAGTGGACTTTTTGTCCTTTTCGTGGAATCTGCCATTCATACATGAGTATGTTAGTATGTGCTCACGTGTGTGTGTGTGTGTGTTCAGGAGGAGGCAGAGATCCAGGCGGAGCTGGAGCGGTTGGAGCGTGTGAGGAATCTGCACATTCGAGAACTTAAAAGAATCAACAATGAGGACAGTTCTCAGTAAGTCCCGCCCACTTCAGATTATATTTAAATTAGTGCTGGGCAACGATTAATAGTGGTTAATCCCATCCAAAATTTTTGTGTATATTCAAATCTTAAATATGGTTTTGTGGAGGTTTTGTGAAATTCTTAAAAGGCATTCAGCGATAAACTGTAATTGGAAAACATTGAGTATTTTAACTATGTTGATATTTTCTTCTTTCTTTTTTTCTCTCTTTCTTTAGTTTTCTTTGCTGTTTGCTACATTATGCTTCTTTTGAAGTGGAATAATCGCACTCTATTTGTGTTTGTGTTTATAGGTTTAAAGACCATCCAACCCTAAATGAAAGGTATCTTCTCTTACACTTGCTGGGAAGAGGAGGTTTCAGTGAAGTTTATAAGGTATTTTGTTTTTTTGTCATGAGATGCACTCACACTCTTCAATACAGTTCATGTTCTTGCCTGTTTATTGACATTAAAGTAACAGAACAGTACAAAAAAAACAACAACAGCTAGTAAGACAAAAAAAGGGATGATTTTACAGCTGTTGTTGAATTACATCTGTTCCTGCAGTTTTATACATGTTATAACAATGTTACACGTATATTTCTAGGCCAGTGGGCACAGGCAATATGGTGAACATGCAAAGAAAAGGGTCAAACCTTTAAACTGTTATCCTAGACATTCGATAGATGATTAAAAAATGTTTCCCAGGTGGCTTCGAAGCCAGAAATGCTACCAGAAAGGTTGCTTACACAATATTTTAGATAATATAAACAATATACTGACACTATTTTATTATTTTTTTACAGCCTTGGTGAGTGTAGGAGACTTTTCAAAAACAATAATTTTGGGAGTAGAGAGTCATAGAAAGACCCCAAACTTTTTTACATTGGTGCATGTTAAAGGCATTTTAACAACCCATTTTACTTCTGTAAAGTGACATATTTGAGTGAGTGAAATTTAATGAGAAACATGTAGAGAAACATGTAGAACCGAACTTTTATCAGACATTTATTGGATGATGAAACTGTCTATTGCATACAGTTGTTTCAAAGGTGGATCAAGTTATATTTTGATAAAACATTACCAAGACTTTTTTTCTTTATAATAAAGTTCATATTATTTTGAATCAGCATGTAAGAAATGTGTTTATAAGGGCAAAACAGATTACATCTTTAACCATGGTAAAATAACACACAGGTTTACATGGCTCTTATCAAACAGCAAATGCCATATCATAAAAGACACACATTTTTTAATTATAATATAAAACCTGTTTTATAGTACTATAAAAAAGGACATCTTACAAAATGTATACAGACAGCCATAGAGTTCAACTATTAACCTTGGCTTATATTTCAGGGAGTTTATTTTGGGAGAAATTGTGGCTTGTTTAACCTGTTTATGTTGCTGTGTGAAGGCATTTGACCTGTTTGAGCAACGATATGCTGCTGTGAAGATCCATCAGCTCAACAAGAACTGGAGAGAGGAGAAGAAGGAGAACTACCACAAGTATGTTGGCCATCTTTTTTTCCCTTTCTGTCTCTCACACTTTCTTTTATGGACGTGCTCATTTGTTGTTTTGTCCGCTCCAGACATGCCTGTAGAGAATATAGAATCCACAAGCAACTGGACCATCCCAGAATAGTCAAACTCTACGACTACTTTTCCCTGGACACTGACACGTAAGTCTCTGTTACTCGTTCTGCTAAACCAGTTCTAGTTTTTGCAACCGTACAGATATTGACTCAATGTGTTTCTGTTCTAGATTCTGCACTGTTCTCGAGTTCTGTGAGGGGAATGATCTCGATTTCTATCTGAAGCAACACAAGCTGATGTCTGAGAAAGAGGCTCGCTCCATCGTCATGCAGATAGTCAATGCCCTCCGATACCTCAATGAGATCAAACCGCCCATCATCCACTACGACCTGAAACCAGGTGAATGTAACACACGATAAAGGAATAGTTCACCCAAAAATAAACACAATTTTTTTGAAAATTTACTCAACCTTTGAAGATAAGTTGCAGATGAGTTTGCAGATTTCATTCCATCACTTGCTCACCATTGGATGCTCTGCAGTGAATGGGTGCCGTCAGAATGAGAGTCCAAACAGCTGATAAAAACATCACAATAATCCACACCACTTAATGTCTTGTCAAGTGAAAAGCTGCATATTTGTAAGAAACAATCCATTATTAAGACATTTTTAACTTTAAACCACTGCCTTTTATCAGCTGTTCGGCACCCATTCACTGCAGATCATTCATTGGTGAGCAAGTAATGCAATGCTACATTTCTCCAAATCTGTTCCCATGAAGAAACAAACTTGTGCAAAATTTTCAGCAAATTTTCTTTTTTGGCTGAACTATTCTTTTAACTGCTGTATCATTTACAAGTGCAATTCATGCAGAAATGCTTTTTTTTTAAGGATGGTTGGTGGTTATTTGTCACACAGACTGTATAGGAAGTGTGTTTTTGGTTGCTCAGGAAATATCCTGTTGGTGGATGGAACGGCATGTGGGGAGATAAAGATCACAGACTTTGGCCTGTCTAAAATCATGGATGACGACAGCTATGGAGTGGACGGGATGGACCTGACATCGCAGGGAGCCGGAACCTACTGGTCAGTTCAGTGCACTACAGAACATTACTTCAGTGTTCAACACTTTACAAACACATTATTTAGAATATTTATATAGAATATTTATAGAATATAAAATATTTATATGCTCTAAAGCTCCAAAAAGGACAAAATGGCAGCATGAATTTGTCTATATGACTTACACACTTTAGTCCAGAAACTTAAAAAAAAACCTATGGCCCTGTTTATACCTTGTATTAAGATGCATTTTTGTTAATCTGATCACAAGTGGACAATGCTAAAGACAGGTGTGAACGGTGTCTAAAATGTTTTGACCACTTCCAGAGGTAGTCAAAAAAACTCATTTGATCGGATTGCGCTCGTAGTGTGGACGCTTATGTTAGTGCTGGGCGGTATGACCAAAAATTTATATCACGGTATTTTTCGAAATTATACCGGTTTCACGGTACATGACGGTATTTTTTTTTTCATGCATGACCGGGTGTTAACCATATTTTCTACTGATTGAGAGAGGAAATACTGCAGTATATTGACTTAGAATGCCCTATTTTACTATCATGATGAGTGAATATTGTCAAAAAATACCACACTAAATGGTGACTAAACACGACCCCTTTTAATACATGTTAACCAGGAGTCACTCTCATTTATAATCGCGGCATCGTCTGATAAAATCAACATGCATCTACACTAAAGAGCGGCTATGCGGTTGTTTTGGCTATATTACTTTTTTGTCTCATGCAGCGCACTGAGTAACAAACTAAAAAAAACAAACAAAAAAGTGCTGAACTACATTCATATTTATAATTCCAAACAATCAGTAAGCGACAGGTGCTAGGAAACGCTGTTTTGTACTCGTCGTCGAATGCGCTCGAACAGCCACTAAACTCTTCTACAGGAGAAAAAGGACAAAAACAGAATGAAATGACATATGATAGATATAAATAAATAGGCCTACATGAAGTGTTTCAGTTAAATAAATAACAAATTAACAAACCCTGTTTCCAAGGGGAAAAAACCCTGTTTTATTTCATTTTTACCAAATGTTTCATTTTTATGGCTACACGCACCACAAATTTAAGGAAACCGAGATGGCTGAAAGCCATAGGCATAGTTTTGTTCTTATTGGGAGTATACATAAATAAAAGTAAGTAATTTACATTTTAAAATGCAGTCTTTCTCCTATCTTTATGACCAAAAATTATATTTTTTGATAATAAAAATGATAATATTTTTTCCCGCTGTGACAAGGACCATTAATTTAAAGCATTGTGTTTATAACTAATGATATTATATATAGGGTTTTATTGTTTAATTGTATATATGATTTGCACTATAATTTTATAGCTACTTATATTTTCTGATTTTTTTATCTTATTCTGTTATGAATACTGGTAAAATGTAAAGGATTTGCTGATAACTTGTAGGTGACTAATGTTTTTATTTTCTCTCAGCGCAATTTTGACTGATATATGTATAGCAGAATTCATCCATCCAGTAAAGGTTTTAAAAATAGCTTTGGGGGGAAGAAACAAAACAAAACGACAGCATTCGAGCTTATTTCATAATATTAGATCAGAAAAAGCCCACATACTCCGGCCCATAGACCCTCCCCTCAAATGAAATCATGACAGAAGTTGTCGAAAGTGGACCGAAGAGACGAATTAAAACACCAGGTGTGAACGGGAATGTGTCTTCCTCGTCTACTTGTGATCCGATCGACCGACACACATCTTAATACCAGGTGTAAACGGGGCCTGTATGTATAGGGCTTTACTGTTCTAATGAAAACTAAATGTTCTGACGTTTCAGGTATCTGCCACCAGAGTGTTTTGTCGTTGGTAAAGAACCTCCAAAGATCTCTAATAAAGTAGACGTGTGGTCTGTGGGCGTTATTTTCTTCCAGTGCCTGTATGGACGAAAGGTGAGGCAAATTTAGAAACCATTCTCTAACTACAGCCACACACAGCTACTGACGTAAAAAGCATTTTAGGATGACGCCGCATTGAATCTTTTGTTGTACTGTAGCCGTTTGGCCACAATCAATCCCAGCAAGACATCCTTCAAGAGAACACCATCCTGAAAGCCACCGAGGTGCAGTTTCCTGCCAAACCTGTGGCGAGCAACGAGGCCAAGGTCAGTTTGAGGCATGCGTATAAATGATATAAATGCGTATTTGCTGAATGCTGACGGCAAATGAGAAAGTATTATAATGTTTGCCTTTCTATTACTAATAATATAAAAGCAATCATTATAATACTTTTTTTGTATACATTTTAATTCCTTTGTTTAACAGTTCAATCTGATTATTAGACAGACTCATGGGTCGCAGAAGCGCCACCCAGGTTACTTCTGAGGTCTAGTACAAATATGACATAGACTACAAAAATACATAGGCTATATAAGCTCATATGTATGCACGAGAAATCATTAAAAGATCGCGATCTTGATTCAAACACGCGCAATCTTATTCCTAAATGACGATTCCGCTTTGTCAGTTAAACCTTTGAAATCACTATCACATCGGAATATTTAAACCTGCTTTTGCGCAGCCGCTGATCCAGTCCAGAGAGAGCAGCGCTCATCATGTAAGCTATGAAACAGTCTACAGTAGGCTACATTTCTGTATTGCGAACATTAAATAATAATGAAAGTATTGGGATAAAATTTTATAGTCTGGATATAGACTCTGATGTTGCGGCAGCCGCGATCAAAATGAGTAATTGACCTTTGGAACTAATGTTACGCTTCAAATATTATGTTACGTTATGCCATTAAGTGGCGACCAGTGACTTAAAATGTAGCTATTTGATGTCTGAATCATTAATTCAAGAGGTTCATTCAAAAAAATCGTCATTAGTTTTTTTCAAATGACATTTTGTCAGAAACTCAAGTAAATTGGCCTATTATTTTACTATTTTATATTATTTAAGTGTATTTTATATTATTTTAGTAAATTACATATTATTTTGTTTGGTTATATAATGTTTTGTTTTCAGAATCGAAGCCCCCCCCATACGATCTTTGAAAATATATACAAATATCGGCCGATATATCGGCCTTGACAATATATCGGTTGACCATTAGTGGAAGCCACGGTCTGATTTTCTTTCTTGTCCTCCGCAGGCGTTTATCCGCCGCTGTCTGGCTTACAGGAAGGAGGATCGCTTTGACGTCCACCAGCTAGGCAGCGACTCGTACCTTCTTCCTCACATGAGACGATCCAATTCATCGGGGAACTTGCAGGCCATGCCCGCAAGCCCCGCCTCTTCAGGAATCATCTCCTACTGATTGGCTGATCGATCTTGATTGACGGTTCTGATGGTGAGTTCCCTCCCTTCATCACCTCGGGGTGGACAGGAAGGGGGAGGAGCTATACATGTCAGCTGTAGGACACGCCCACAGCGACCACAGTGACTGCCATTGATACTGGGGCAGGAATGGCTGATGTCATTTCCTGTGTGGATCCAGATGTCAGTCAGAGCTAGAACCTTTTGAAAATGGATATTTGTTTTTTACCCAAGGCATTTTGTGGAGTAGATTTGGGAGGGTTGCGCTAACGTTTTAGCTACTTGTTGATATCCTCCCTGAGCTACACCTCTGTAACGGGGTGTTTTGTTTTGTGTAAGTGTGAAATGTAGAGACGATTAATTGTAGTGTGATTGGAAATAGAAGAATGAGTGTTTTAATGTGACACAACCGTGTCTGTAAGAGAAATTGTGTGTGTGCGCGCGCCTGTAAATGGATGTTTTACGCCACAGCGTTATATGTTGGCTGTTCATAACATACATGTGTTGGGCACAGATTGCAAGGTGTGTGTTACAAAAATGCTGTCTATTTTACTTCAAAGTAACATGTATGAAAAATGTCAGTTTGTTTAAATGGGCTTAATATTTGCAAAATGTGGATCGGTGAATCTCACCAAAAATGTCCAGATCACATTTCACCCCAAAATCAAGGGGGAAAAAAGTTACTTATTTCCGTGAAAGAAATTAGGTGTTTTTTTTGTTGTTTTTTTTACTTGAAATTTTCATGACGGTTAAACAAAAAAAAATATATAATATGTGGTATTTTTATATTGTTTTATAAAAATTATGTATTTAAATGTGTGTGTGTGAATGAACACACATTTTACATCAGCACACACACACTATTATTTATATATATATATATATACATACACTATATATGCTGATGTAAATATATATTTTTTTCATTTTATATAATGTGTATAAGTATATTTGTGTATATATATGTTGTAAAAATTTGTTCCCTGTAATAGTTTAACAGTCATGAAAATTGTCTTGTCCACACACACACACACACACACACGTACGTACGTTCTGTGAGGGAAATGGAAAAAGTGTGTGTGTGTGTGTGCTTTTTAAAGTACTTTTTATTTACATCAGCATAAGTTAAAGGCAATATAACAAATACTGTGTATATACAATGTGTGTTTCGTATTACAGTGAGCAATTTTCGCCCAAATAAAATAGGGTTCTTCATTTCTTTAGATTTTGGAGTGGAAAATGACTTGGACATGTTGTTGACCAGTTTGATGAGATTCACCTGTTTGTCCTGCATGTAGGAGGATTAACTGTAAAATCATCTCAGTAGAATAGACCTCCTATAGCAGCTCCCAAACGTCACATACGAGTACATTAATGAATCCAGCCTGTGCAGGGTTTCATATTTCCTCAGTTTGTTAGTGACTTTTGTTGTCTGATGCGGCATCTTCGCCTCACTGCACCCTGACATTGCTTTTAGTTTCACGATTTACTCTGATTATGATTCAGACCAAATATGAATTTGATTTACCAGGAAACAGCATGAATAAACCTCCATTGTGGTTGTGAATGAGGTGTGTGTGTGAGCGATGATTGACAGAACAGACGGAAGGTGGGCCGGACCCCGCCCTTGATCATTAACCCCTTTATGCCCAGACCTAGTGCTGTCATGTTGCTTAGCAACCCTCGCTGATCCCGGAGCCTGAGTCAGGCCAGCATCTCCGAACCACATGGACCGGACCGCGATCGAACGCTCGAAGCTTCCAGAGTCTGTTTTCAGGGGACGAATCTCAGCTTTTGTTGTTTCCTCTCTAAATACTCTTTCAACCCCAGAAGCAGTTTTCAGCTCAACATATGGTGATCTGTCTCCCAAGTGCTGCTGCGATTGTAGAGAATGTAGCCAAAAGAGAAATAAAAATTTTTGAAAATATTTGGATACATGTGCTTTCTTTCCCTAATTTCTTGGACAGTTTCTTGAAAAAGCAGAGCTGTTATTTGTTTGCTCTCAGGGCTCCTGCTGGACAGAATCAAAAGTCAGCCTGTATTTCACAGCCGAGTGATAGTTATATTTAAAAGACATAGTATGGAGAAGAAAAAAAAAACAGAAATATTTTAAAGCTGAGCATAAGTAGGCAAATATTCACTATAGAAATGTCTGGTTTCATTTAACTGTATATTTATCTTTTTAAATGTATGATGTTACAAAAAATGATTTCCATTTCCATTTTTAAAATCTTTGATAATTCCAGGTTTTTCAGGCCTGTGGGAGCCCTATTTGTTAAATAGCAATTCCTAACTGCCTTTAAATGCTTGTTTTATTTTGGTCTATTACCAGAAATTCTTAAAGTACATAAGTGGTTCTTAACCAGGGGCCCACAAGATGACTTAACATCATGTAAGATGAGCAAACAAACTAAAACGGCTACAAATGAAGGTGCCTATATATTTCTTATTTTAATGTGTTCCCTCAACATCTGTGATTTTTATTTAAGAACCATGAACCTTGAGAGTGTAAAAAGTGATGTCCAGACCAGGAAAGTCATGGAAATGTTTTAATTTAACATAACTTGGGGGAAAAAAAGATATAATCTTGATCAACTGGAAACAATGCAAATTCATAAAAAGTGAACGCTGAACATTAAGGTTTTGAAAGACGGAATTTTAATGATTTCTATTATATATTACAACTCTTACAGTTGCGGTAAATTAAGTTGTATAGAGATACACTGTATAGAAAAATCTTAGCTACCGAGTCCAAAAGGCTGAAACATTTTCAGCACCAATAACTAATAACTGCTTGCCTGATTAAACATTCTACCAAGTTTCATCTTCAGAATATCCTTGTTGTTCATAATGTACATTTTACTTTTTAAGCATTAAGTGAAATGTGTAAAACAAGTGTCAATTCAGCTAATTGTACATTTTATCTATTTATTCCACTGCTTTTCAATACTTTATTCTGATGTCAGTTGTGGCAGTCGGTGGTTAAAGATTTCTGCTTTATATCAGGGCCCTGATCATCGATGGGTTTATTTTGTGATGACCTTCTAAGTGTACGCCCACATACATCCTTGTCTAAAAATGAGCACTGACCACTGAAATCCTTTAATCGCTTGACTATGGTAAAAGCAAGGAATTGCAATGTGATTTCATGCAAACTATGTAATTTATACTCAACTCACAAATTAAAGAGACAGAGACAGCCCTAGTGTAAAACTGGGTAGTTTATTGCTTGTGTATGTTTGAATAAGAGATTCCTTCACAATCTTCAAACTGCACAAGCGCACCTTCAGCACGTTCGTAACTGTGTTTCCGTTCATCATGATGGCAGATCTATCATACAGAGAGTGTGTGAGAGCACGTGAGAGAAAAAGAGGCCCAGAGCCCAGTCTGACCACGAATAGAGTTGTTTCTGAGGAAATCAAAGCAATCGAAACAAACAGTGCAAAGAAAGAAAGACAAAAGTCAGACATTACATTGTAAAATCACATAGCAATTGACAGTTACAGGGAATGCTATATTAACATTTGAAAGTTGATTACAGGATATACAGAAAGAAAAAGCACGAGACGGCACCGATTCTGAAAAGAGCGCAAACCAGACATACAGCCATCTCTGTTTTTTTAAATGTATTTTTTAATATTAGCCGTCCATCCACATGCTCATTACTCTCAGACGCTGGCGTCTCTCAACAGAACCGTGTTTATCTCTGTGTTTGTGTTCACACACTGGAATCTTTTTGTACTGAATAAATACAATAGAGACGTACGGAGGGACGCCCACCGGCCCCGGTCCGGCCGTTACGAGGACTCTGGGGCCGCCTGCGCATCCGTCGTCTGCTGTAGGAGCGTCTCCATCGCAGTAGGCTTCTCTGAAGGCGTGTCTTTGACCGCAGGGGTGAGCGTGGCATCCAGAATGAGCGCTGGAGTTTGCCCGGCAGCTAAAGAGACGGGTGGGATGTGGTCAGATGGTGCCAGGGAAGATGGCAGCGTGACCCCGGGCATGCTGGGAAGTGTGGAAGGGAGAACGGTGTGCATGGGCAGAGCAGAGATGCCGGGCAGGTTCAGAGGAGGGAGAGGAGGCAAACCTGCAGAGAGGGATCACATCAATATTCAGCCGTTTTAATAAAGTCACAGAAATTAAAACAGGTTTTTCCACTATGGCTGGTTACTTTACACAGGGTTTCTGCAGGATTTAAAAAATCTAATTAAAGGCTTTTTAAGACCTTATTAAGGACCCGCACAAATAAAATTAATACAGTATGTCTATTCAGAACAGATCTCAAAATAAATCATGCATCTCAGAATCTTTTACTTGATTAAACAGGCCATAGCACACAATCAACAAGGTTTTAACACTGCTTATTAGCAAAATGGGAACTGCAAATAATATACTCGAGATCAATTTTATTTAATATGTAATGAAATTGGTCCATGTCCCAACTTATCAAGTGATAATATGTTGAATCATACATTTATTATTATTTTAAATTTTTTTATATATATTTTCTGTTTTAATTTTAATTGTACAGTTTTAATAATTTTATTTGTAGTGGGCTGTCATATTTATTACTTTTTTGTTTGTTTTCCCCTTAATTATGTCTACATAGTTTTTTTTATGTTTTAGTTATTTTAGTATTTCAACTTTAAAATGAAATGAGAAATGTTGCCTTGGCAACTATCTGAAAAAATATCTATTTATTATATTTCAATTCATGTTTTTTTTTTTTAAGAAATTAAAATTCTGCACGAAAGGGTCCTACCATGATCAAGGTCCAGAAAGGTACCGAGAACATAGTTAAAATAGTCCTTGTGACATCATTGGTTCAACCGTAATTTTATGAATTTCTATGGAGAGAATTTTTGGGTGAATATCCCTTTAAGGAGCTGCAGGAACCCCGTCTAAGTGGGCGATTCTTGGTCAGAATAAGCTGTAATATAGTTTTGGTGTGTGCACCTGCTGTAATGGGAGGTAACCCACTGATTCCAGCTAATGATACAGCGCTAAGGTCCGGTAACGGTAGATTGAGGTTTGGGAGGTTAGGCAGGTTTGGCAGGGGAGGGAGGCCAGATGGTAAGGACATCAAACCTGAAGACACAAAATTAAAATCATTTAGCCACATGAATATTTGAATATTTTACCTGCTGTGGAATTGCATTCACTTAATAAAAAACAGAGATGAGTGCATGTTCTTTACCTGGTACGGTGGTGGAGGGGTTGACAATGGGAAGGGGACCCAGCCCAGGGGTCACATGAGCGGGCAGCAGGGGGACTGTGGGAACACCTACCAGAAATGACAACCATTTAAAATTTTGCACTAATTACAATTAATTATATCATGAATTAGGGTTGGGCCGATAGACGATGCCATCGTCCATCGCCGATGGCTGATTGACATCACGATGTTGAGCCGGCATCGCGATTACCAGTAGACATCGCCCAACCCTATCATGAATTATGCACAATGTAGGGAGTGCAGGTAACCGTAGCCGATACCACAGCCAAGACTGTGAACGAAGAAGAATAATCATGTCGGACATGCGCACAGAGACAGGAAGCAGAGAAAGCGAGAGTTTCACACACACACACACACACACCTGCCCTCTCCACCCCAGGCACCGTTGGGCGTGATGACCACTTCTCTGCAGTTGTCTGTGTCTGTGTTGTAGACGTAGAGTTTCAGGCCTTTGCCCTCATGGGTTTCTATCAATGAGAATAAGTCCTCTGACTGGAGAAAGAGCACAACACCCACAAAATGAAAAATCCTTTGGGCCAGTTGATGAAGCAGTCATTTGCCTTTTTGGGTTAGTGCTGCTGTGCCACTAAAATATTTACACAATCATTAGAACATTAGTTTTTGAATACCTTGCAACTTAAACATTTGCTTTTCTGTGATCTTTGTGATGTTCATTGAAGCAAATTCTGCTGATTTGTCATCAAAATGTCATCCAGCTGGCTAACACAGATGACTTCTTATTTTAGTATCATTTATATACTATTATAGTAATTATTCAGATTTTGAATTAGCATTTTTTTATATTTTCAGATTTAATTTTAGTTTAAAGGGGTCATATGATGCTTTTTTAAAGATCATTATTTTGTGTATTTGGTGTAACAGAATATGTCGCGTGACAGATACAGAGTCGCGTGACAGACACAGTTTTGAAGCTGGTATGTGTTTGTGATGTGACCCCCGCTCGCTCGCTCGCGCTCTCTCTCTCTCTCTCTCTCTCTCTCTCTCGCGCACACACGATGCACAAAACTCTGCATTTGAACAGTCAATAGCAAATACTTTTAGAGTCAGAACTGTCAGTTTTACTGTTTAGAGTCTCTAGATTTTCATTTATAATGAGTTTAACTCACTGTATTATCCCGTGATTGTCATTATTACACCAGTTATTCAATACATCAGCAGATTTTCCATTTGAAATTCCTAACACCTGTTCATACAGAGTAAATCAAGCTTGCTTCTTGGCTCACTGAATAGTCAATATATGATAGAAGACCCTCACTATGTGCAACAAACCTACCAGTCTGGTGTTGTTGATGGACACAATGAAGTCAAAGAAGGGTTCGAGACCTGCTCTATGACCGGGAGAATTCTCCTGCACCTGCAGAACACAGAAAACACCCCATTTAACCTTTAAATAGAACCAATGAATGACCCATTAAAACCAAAAACAAACATTACAATCGTCTAGCAAAACTCTAAACTGGCATAGATCATAGATCATGAAATAATAAGCTTTGCAACAAGTAAATGCCAAAGTAGACAGACACTTAACCTTTCTATCAGATTCCTGACTGAGATGTCAACCATTAAAACGAGCAGTCGTGTATATATTTACCCAATTATTAAAAAATCAGATGCGTGTAGGAACAGCATGTCATTTCCTACGTTTCACGTGGAGCATAAGCAAACTGCTTTAAGTTGGGCCAATTCGAGTTATGACAGATTAAAACTAAACATTTAAACAGTAAAGCATCATGACATGTAGTAAGCTTCTTCAACAGTCCATCCAACAACAATTACAGAAAAAACCACACACTGTACAGTAGGATAAATGAAGATGTGCTTTTTAAGGGGTATCAGCCTTTGCATGTCAAATGCTGAAAACTCCCATGCATTATATCTACATTTAACAGCAGAGATTTTCGTTTAGCCACATTAGCATTTAGCCACGGCCGCACTGACATCCCCGGCCTCGATTTGAACTTTGTGCCGCTAGCGACTCGCGATGTACCGCATAAGTGAAATGGAGAAACCAAGAAAAAACACACTCACTCTAAGAACGTGATAGCCCTCCGAACCACCTCCGGGAATTTCCACGCTCTGTGATCCCCCCATGATCCCCGCTCCGTGTCACCGGTGAGAATATTATCCGTTTTAATTGTTTTTTTCCTCCCACCAGCCGGTTTTGTGGACAGACACGTTGGAGTCTCGACGGCGGTGAATGACGTGGCAGTGCAAGAAGGAGGGCTCGTGCTTATGTGGCGCACAGGTGAGACTGCGGCGAGCCTATTGTCATATTATGAATAAAGAAATCATGGTTTATTTCTAGTTTATAAGTGTACAGCATGTGAACGATTGGATATACAACCATAGAAGGCACAGTAGCAATGTCGAATTCGTGAACGAATCATTCACGCGAGTCGGATCTTTTTGATGAGTCGTTCGAACCGTGCACAAACTCATCTGAATGATTCGTTCACGAGCTGTTCTCGAGTTAACAGAAACCTTTTTTTTGGGACAGCCAGTCTTCATAAATGCCTTTCTTTTTCTGTGTTTGTGTGTATTTGCATATACTCATATACACATAATACACATAATACACATATTTTTAAAATCTCCAAACATTAGATATAGATTATACATTGGGAGTATTTGCTGGCTTGATTGAGTAGCAGTAAAATTGTACAAAATGTTAATTTTAGGGTTTGATTTGATGTTGTCCACTGGGGGGCATATTGGCATGTAATTTAGTTCCTGACAAACAGCAGAGATCAAATAGCGCCCCCTGGAGGAAGTCAAATATGTGCAACATGCTTCCAAATGCTTCATTTCTTTGTCACACTGTAGATGTGCTGCCTTCTTATGGCAAATAAATGATAATACACAGAGCAGGAAACTACAGACAAACGAAAACGTGATAAAAGCCATATTAAATAGACTGTAACTCATACTTTTGCAGATAATTTTACAGCTGAACTTTCCTTTGATCTTTGTATAATTTTGACATGTACTTTTTGTGATCCAAATTAAGTATAAATGACAAAAAGTACATTGTACAGTATTTTGAACATAGTTACATGGTAATTTTTTATGCTGACCATGGTATCTAAATATGGCATGACTTTTTAATATAGTAGCATTATAATACCATTACAATTATAATAGCATTATATCTATATTTCTCTGATAGTACCATGTTCCATAATAATTTCATGGCATGAGAATCTGATAATCATTCCGTATTAAGGTTATTTTATATATCAAAGTGCAAAGGTATTATCAACTTACACCATTATTTGTTTTTAAGTACTTTTTTGCCACAATAAGTATTTTTTCGAGGGCATTTTGATAGTATATTTCACATATAAAAAGGTTTATAGTGGCTATTGCCAAAATATATGAATATGCTAAATATAAGTTGTAAACAGTGAAGCTGTTTACAGCATGTATTTAGCCTAAATGCAAATATTGATTTTTAAAATATACTTTCAATGGCCAATAATATATTGGTAGAAAATATATTTCCATAAATACATTTTGAGATAAATTTGAGCAAATACACTTTTTGGTATATTTTGAAATATAATGTCATTATGACATACCTTCTAGTGCCTGAGAGCAGCTGGTTTAAAATAAGAATGAAATAAAAGAAAACACAAACAAACTCAGTGTGAAGTGCAAGTTTATTATACACTTTAAAATAAAGGTGCACGATTTGTACATTTTAAAAAGACGACTAACAGAACATTCTTATACTTTAATAGCTTTTTATTGTGCCGTGTACATGTGTTAATAACAGTTTACATATAATGTGATTGCATTTTAAAGTGCCAGCCTTACTGAGGAGACCAGATCGCCCTCCTCACATTTGTCAAAAACACTTTGAACAAATAGAGAACATGAAATAAATGTTCCAAAGACAACAGCTGAATCTAAATACCGCATAGCAATAAACTTTTAATAAATATGAATATGAACACAATCTTCCAGCATCCTGAGGACATTTCAAGCCTTCCTTCTAAGTTTGTGCTTTTTGCTTTATTGTTTTCTTTTGTTATTTATTCTCTTTTTTTAAATATGATGCTATAATCGCCTGAGTTGAATATCAATAATTAGTAATATACATCTGGTAACTAACTACCTTCATATAATTGATAGGATTGCTTATAACATTCAGTCAAAGATACACACGATAACACTGTAACACTAACACACTGATTGCACAGAGTTAAGGGCCTCAACGACAAACATATACAATATATTCATATTTCTATAAATGTGTATAGATTTATGCTATAATTTATACGCTTGCTTATTTCAAAGAATATCGAGTATATTGTAAAATGTATGGCACTAGTTCTGTCTTTGGCTCACAAGTACACTACTGGACCATAAACATTAGCCTAAACTTGTTTGATTATATATAACTTGTCTTAAAATACAAATGAAGAACCGTTACAAATGAGAGAAATACCTTTGAACACCGTTGGCTCACAATATAAATAAAGTCTTTGTTTATAGATTTATATCAGTACATTTCAAACTGAAAATTGAATACTTATGTTTCACCTCACAAAGGTGTTGATTAAACACTTTACATGACCTACTACAAGGTTAGTTTAGGAAACACAACACTAAAATACAGATCAACCACTGGTTTACACACAGACCCCACTACTACACAGAAAGGGGTTCGAGCTTCATTAAAAGGGTGGTGCGTCTTTGCTTGTCTTTATATTGTATTTACAAACCCAAGCACCGACTGTTACACATTTAAACTATGTTATAAGGTGACCGTGTAGCTATACGGGCTACGTAATCTGTAAGTTAAAGATCTAAAGACATTGAGAAGAAGGACAGAACATATTGGACCACAATACGACGTCGAAACATAGCCATTAAATGTGTAGACCGGGCGACCGTCCTGTCGAGATGCCTGAGCCTTGAATATAGACACAGAGCTGCAGTTCTCTGCTCTTACAGATCGTGACCCAGCCTCTCGATCTCATTGATGAGGAAATCGATGTCGGACTTGGTGACGGCATGATTGGAGACGACCATTCGGAAGAAGTTGACCTTGTCTCCCTGTGGTTGGTAGCCTACCATGGTTGTGCCGCACTCCATCATCATTGCTTTGATCTTCGGCGCCACCTGCAGGGGAGACGGCGTAATTTATGACACAAGTTTGAACCAATTTTCTTTGTAAAATGATTAATTGTTTCAAAGCACTGGAAAAACCATACACTGGTGGCTCATGCTGACTCAAAACGGTGTAAATGGAATGAAAAGACAACCCAAATATGTACATATGATGGCATCCTCTACAAACTAATTGCAAATGTTTTCATGAAAGGGCTATTACATGTAATCTACGAATAATTAAATTACATTAAAGAACATGGGTTCACAAGATCAACAACATCTACACTCTTAAAAACTAAAAGTTCTTTATTGGCATCGATGGTTTCATGAAGAACCTTTAACATCCAGGGATCTTTCCCTTATTTAGCATTACATCACTTCTTCACCAATGGATCCTCTGGAGTGAATGGGTGCCGTCAGAATGAGAGTCCAAACAGCTGATTAAAAACATCCACTCCAGTTCATTAATTAAAGTCTTAAACCGCTGCTTCTGGCCAAAATACCAGTCTATAATCCATAATAACACTTCCTCCAGTGGAAAAAGTCCATCTCCTGTTGGCACTCACATCAAAATTCACCCACACATTTGTTTAGAGCTGTTCTAGACTGTTTTCGGTTGTAAATGGCACTTGATCTGAGCATATTTCTCTCCTGATTCAGATTAAATTACTGTTTCACTGGAGGAAATGTTATTACAGATTATGGACTCGTATTTTAGCCAGAATCAACGACTTAATGATGGATTTGTTTCTTACAAACACGCAGCTTTTCACCTCACAAGGCATTAATGGATGGACTGGCGTGATGTGGATTACTTGTGGATTATTGTGATGTTTTTATCAGCTGTTTGGACTCTCATTCTGACGGCACCCATTCACTGCAGAGCATTCATTGCTGAGCAAGTGATGGAATGCTACATTTCTCCAAATCTGTTCCCATGAAGAAACAAACTCATCTACATCTTGGATGGCCTGAGAGTGAGGACATTTTCAGCTGAACTATTCTTTTAAAACTGTTTTGAGCTTGAAGATTCTTTGGGAAAACCAAAATGGTTCTTCTATGGCAAACCCTCTTTTGGAAACTTAAGAGCATAGAGGCGAATCCTTGGAATTGTAAAAAGTTTTTAACCTAAGGTTCAAAAAAGTATTACGTAACGAAGCCTCATCTGCTGAAATCACATGACTCTTTGATAAAAGCTTCAAAACCACTGATTCGAAATAAGATTTGTAAAATTCGTTTTGATCACTACCAGTTTGTGTGCTTGTTACTCTCATTTTGTATAATTGAAATGAGATTAAGTACCCTGTGTAGTTTCTCCCTTCGTTCATCTCCATGTGGCATGCTACGCAAGCTTGGTGGAATATACCAGAAGCAAACATTTGTGTGCTGGGGCTGCAGAGAACAAAAGAAAGCAATAAGAAAAGTCATTACATGCAGTATTAGGTAAGCAGTTTTTTCAGTCTATACTTGAGTATGCGTGTGCCTGATACAAACCTGGCCCTCAAAGACCATTTCATATCCCTCACGGTTCTTGATTTTATTGTAGAGATATTCAGAAAGCTCCAGACATCTGTCAATGTGCTGCTCAAACCCAATTGTGCCCTGCACGGATAAAAATCACCAGTCAGAATAAAAATGTGTGTTTCTCAGCAAAATACTCATTGCTATAGCCACATAATTGTTTTTATTTTAAAGGGCTCATATGATGCGATTTCAAGTTTTCCTTTCTCTTTGGAGTGTTACAAGCTGGTGTAATTTTACAGTAGTATACCGTTTTTGGAAGTGAAAAAGACTGTGTAATTTACAGTGAATAACCATAAATTGATATTGCCAGAATTCCCTGCGTTACATTTCAAATTTGATGTTTTTTTGTTGAAATAACTATGTTTGTTTATATTGTTGCAAAAATGTAAACTATTATTGCAGATATTATATCAAACTATCTTTGCATATATACAGTACACATATATATATATATATACAATACATATACAATAGCAACATATAGTATATAGCAAATCTTAACTACCTAATTTTTTTCTTGTTGCAAAATGTATCACCTAGCTCTATATATAAAGTTGTACATATAAGTATGTCCAACTTTATCCACATACATACAATATACTCGTATATACTTGCAAATACCTGCTTGATTGTTTATTTTGTCACAAAATGTAAACTATATTATCGCCCAGCTCTAATCTGCTAAATGCAACTATAAGGCATGAAGATATTAAGATACATCATCATGATTTTCTGTTAAGCTGTTTTTGAAGCAATGTGTATTGTGAAAAGCACTATGTACAGTATATAAATTGATTTGACATGGCATAACAGCAGCTGTTGTGACCCACCTTGGCCTTCCACATGAGCCAGAATTTGAAGATGTCTACATGTCTGCCACACTGGATGGCCTTGTCGCCGGTGTCGTAGGTCACATCGTACTGTTTGTCTGGTTGGAAGAGGTATCCAGCGCACATGGAGTTGCAGCCCTGCAGAATGCCCTGCAACAGAAACACATCTCCTGTGATCAGTAGCTGTATAACTAAACTTTAAATGAGTTTGAATTGACTTGATCTACGTAAATTCATTTAGCAGACACATTTATCTAAATGAGTTTGGTGCGTATCTGCATATCCAAGATTTTTGATCTTTTTCAGACTTGTACAGGATTTTTAAATGTTTTTGAAAGAAGTGTCTTCTGCTCACTAAGGCTGCATTTATTTGATCAAAAATACAGTAAAAACTAAAATATTGAGAAATATTACCATTTTTAAAAACTGTTTAGTATTTGAATATATTATATATAAAATGTCATTTTTTCCTGTGACGCAAAGCTGAATTTTCAGCATCATTACTCCAGTCTTCAGTGTCACATGATCCTTCAGAAATCATTCTAATATGCTGATTTGCTGCTCAAGAAACATTTCTGCTTATTATCAATGCTGAAAACAGGTGTGCTACGGATTTTTTTGAAAAACTGATTTTTGTTGAATAGAAACTGATTTGAAATCGTTTGTAAGATTACAAATGTCTTTATTGTCACTTCTGGCTAATTTTACGTGTCCTTGCTGAATGAAAGGAATAATTTCTTTAAAAAAATCTTTACTGACCCCAAACTTTTTAACAGTAATGTACAGTATATAGATGGGCTTTTCCAAGGCAAATGTTAATGCCAGATGTAAATGGGGCCCTAGTGTGTGATAAATCCTGACTGTTTATGTCTTTGACTGTTTACTGTCTCACCTTCTCTCTAACCAGGATGGCTGAACATTGCAGTGGTACACCCATCATCTTATGAGGGTTCCATGTGACTGAGTTTGCTCTGAAACAAACAGACATGTGGGTTTTCAGGTCACACTGCAAGTCATTTTAGCACCTCATCTCGTGTGATTTTTACATACCTCTCAATGCCGTTTAACTTGTGACGGTGTTTCCTGGACATCAGCAGTCCTCCACCCCAAGCACCCTAGACATGTACAAACACCACTGACTGAATGATTTAAGATTTATTAATTCATTTATTCAATGCTCCATTTATTATATTCATCTATTTAGTTACCATTTCAGCAAATTCTGAAAGCACTAAATGGAAATGCATGTATATATATTGAATCAAACTTACATCTACATGTAACCACAGGTTGTACTTCTCGCAAATGTCGGCAATGTCATTGATGGGATCGAATGCTCCATATACTGTGGTACCAGCCGTTGCGTTCACAAACAGTGGCACGTAACCCTAAAATAAACATTCAAAATTTCATTCACTGCTGATAGTACATGGCCTAAAGATAGTGCCCTAACAGCAAGATCCCACTTTATTAACAGAGAGACTTAGAATTAGTACTTAAAGTTCAAATCAACCATGAATACCTGCTCCAGTATTGATCCACTGAACTCTTCAGGCACTGAGGTTAAATACTCTCACTCACTTGTCTTAGCAACAGTGAGTCTGAGCATCTACTTACCTTCTGTTTGGCATCAATGATCTTGGCCTCTAAGTCAGCCGGTATGACACGCCCCCTGAAACAAGACAGCCAATTAGGTGTAAGTGGGAGGGACTCTAGCAAATAAAACATGAGCTTTGAAAGAAAGTAACATAGTGGTTAAGAGCTCAAAAGAAGATGATACCTCTCATCTGTCTTGAGGAGAATTACGTTTTCTTTGCCAAATCCCAGCACTGCTCCTGCCTTTTTGATTGAATAATGACTCTGCAAAAAACAAACAGTGGAGTTGCCAATTAATCAAATGGCCAAATAGTATAAAAATAATGCAACTGTACACTAATGCTTCAAAAATAATACCATATTTGCTGATTGAAATGTAAATACTTGTTTTTAATAATAATTTTGGGCTTCTGATTCCGAAAATAGTGCTTGTTTTGCACGAGTATGCCACACATTTTGTAGAATATTTGCTTTCTATGATCATTTGTAAGGTGACGTTTTGGATATCCTTTAAAAAAAACTGCCACTAAGACGATATAAGTCATATCTTCCTCTGAGCCAGGTTACAACGATTAAAAAAATTCTCAGCTGATTTTCAAGGTTAGAATTATGGCCAGTGACAGAAGAAAATGCAAACACGAGCCAGATGTTTTCTGCTACATATGTGGGTGTTTTTTGCAGATTTTGTGAAAAAAAAAAAAAAAAACTTATTTAGCAAAGTTCTTTGACATTACATTTAATATTTGAATGTATTTTTTACAGTCCTTTGCAGATTGCAAGTTAAATGATACATTTTGAATATTCCTTTTTGCCATTAAAACCAAAACTTTTGACTGCTTTTGTTATTTTAGTAAGTGCAATAAGCTGATATATACTTATCAAATGTCATATATAACATATCAAATATATTTTCGAGCTCAGCATCAAATTAGGTAGCCTAATATTAGCGTTCTTGGCAAATCAGCCGATTTTTTTTTCTTCAAGATGCAAGGCTGTGTAATATATGACCCCTAGAGGCAGACAAATCCTCTGCTTAACTGCAGTGAAAGTGAGTACTTACATGTTCAGAAGTGAAAAGCACGAGTCGTGGTGCTGCAGACATGCCTTTGGTTTTGACTTCAGGGAAATACTTGTACCGCGCAACCATCACACTGTACATGTTTGATATGGCACCACCTGTGAACAGATTCATCACATTACAGCACCAAAATAAAATGTGTTAGCCAAAGGAATAGTTCAGCCAACACGAAAATGTCATACTTTCCTCATCCCCTAATTGTATGCACAACCTATGGTATTTTTTATTAGGCTATGTGTTTTGGGTTACGTTTGTAATGGCGATATTTCATTATTCGGTTTGTTATGGACCAGTTTACCTGGTGAGAAGAGTGCATCGCCGTCACCATTAGGCCATCCGATGATCTCTCTCATCTTCTTGAGGGTCAGTTGCTCCATCAGAACAAACACAGGAGCGATTTCATATGTGAACCTGAGCAACACACAGGAAGACCAGATTTAGTCACATGAGACTTGAAGCAGAAAGACTGAAATGGTATTTTCTTGTAAAACGTACTCCAGTAAGCTTTGTTTTATTTACACCATCGAAAACTCATCTTTTCCGGTGCAGAAAAATATCTAGGTGTTTAGTTCTTGTATCCACCTTATTTTTAACGTAGGCTAACAGCGGGTCATTTATAACTTGTATGTGCGAGACTTCCGGTGTTTTTGGCTTTCAGTTATTTTTAACTGTACAAAAACTGCACGTTACGCTTCCAAATATTGCAAATCGGTCGCTGTTTCTTTTCATATTATTTTAATTTATGATCGTATTCATTAACACACTGATTTGTAGCACAACCCTGTTGAAAAATCCAGCATTTGCTGGTTAGGTAGCCTATGTTTTGAAGCATGGCTGCTGGTCATGAGCTGGTTTAAGCTTCATGTGCTGGTCCTAAACAGGAGCTAGTTGCTTAAGACCAGCTTAGGACCAGCTCATGACCAGCTAAGAACCAGCTTAAACCAGCAGCCATGCTTCAAAACATAGGCTACCTAACCAGCATAAGCTGTTTTTTTCAACAGGGAAATACTACTGCACTTTTAGTTTGGCTACTTAATTAATATTTACTTATAGCCTATTGCAGCTAATGAATCAGAAGTGTGCACATTCACAAAAAAACATAGGCTTGTGGCCAGAAGGGATAAAGCTATGGCCAATAAATAAAATGTTATATCTATTAGACTGTGTTTTCCCTGCTGAACCTGAACATCACAGAAAATTCTAATGGTTTCCACTAAATACCATTACAAACATACCCATCAACTTTTAACCATTATTATTTATTTTTTTTTTTTCTAGCGATTTCTAATGATTTTGCAGTGTGTTTTGGGACATATTCCATTAGGATTTATTGGTTTTAACAAGCCACCAATAGAAGGCGACCAATTATCAGTAGAAACCCACAGGGTCCATTACAGTTTCCATTAAAACCAATAGCCTACAAGTCCCATTATAGGCTAAACCATTACAAATTTTGTAATGGTGTCTGTTGTTTTTTTTCAGCAGGGTTATTAATGTCTACACCTACCCCAACCCTAAACCTACCCCTTATAATAATGCAAAAACAGTTATTATTGTTGTGTGACAAAAATTACGCTATAGGACTATTGATGTGCGCACAGTAGCCACAGCTGCTTCCCTTAGTCTTAACCAAAAAATAGCTTAATTCCGCCAAGCAAAATAAGGTGGATACAAATTATTTATTTATTTTAAATGTAACTTTACTTCGATTTTGGGCTGAAAATTGAAAATTTGGACATGGTTAAGAGGTTCGTATTTTTGCTATCAAATTAATAGCCTATTGATGTTCCACTTCTGCAAATTGTCCAAATCTGGCAACAACTGCTTCAGAGAATCACACAGTTCCTGCAGACATCACATACTGTTCCATCAGAGATACATTCTGTCCCTCTCGGCTGCTTTGAATATCGCTAATTAAAAGACGGCTGTGATAGACTAGATAAGGGCTTATTTCAGGCTGTTTTAATGAAGGGAGTCAGTCCTCTGATGGCTATCTGTCCGTCTAAATGGAGGAGTTCAGCCTGACGGGGGACAGACAGCGCGCAAATGAGGGGACGGCTGCGCGCGCGAGATAAGACCGCGCTTCAGCACAAACCCATCTCATTCACAGAAAGGACGGACGAAAGAGGATGAGCGTGTGATGGAACACAACTAGGACACGGAGCAGCCCCGGGCAGACTCATTGTTCAGCTCCGTCACAAAAAGGAACAAAGATTGGAGACAGTAAAATAACGGGGAATCATCAATAACACGCAGCGAAAACATGATTCCAGCTGTCATAATGTCGTATAAATAGAACAATGTTTCTCGCGCAGGCTTATAACACGTGTTGGATTTGACAAATTACATTTTCATGTACAAAGGAGGAGAAACCAACAGGAAATGTAATATCTGCCTGAATGCACAATGCATATTGGGACCGTTCATTCACCTATATTATGAAATTAAAATGCATGATATACATTTGCATAACATAAAATCATAATCAAATGCTCAATAAAAACAGATTCTCTTGTCAATGATTAGACAGCAAAAATAATTTTCTTATTATACATATATATTTTTTTGTTATATCTTGTTTTCCATTACAAAAATATGGGGTGGGAAAATGTATTTGAATTAAGTGCATTGGCAGATATTCTTTCTTTATTTTAACTTTATGTCATGTCATTTTGCTTCTCAAGTAAATGTATCTTGATTTAAGAGTGTTTAGATATCTGTAATGGAAAACAATACAAAAATACTGAGTAAGAAAATCTTTTTTTGCAGTGTAATACGAAATTTCAGTTTCAATTATGCGTAAATATTGTGTAAAATAATATTTACATTTTATTTACTGTATTATGCATTTAATATTATCAGAATTTTATAGCCAAATCAATATCTGCATCAACCATTGAAAATCATTTGTCAAAGAGATAAACTATCAACCACCCAAAACACCTTAGCAACCACCTAGCAACACCGGTGAAACATACACAACCACCTTACAGTGCAGCAACCAGCTGGAAATATGACTCAAATTTCATGTAAATATCTCTTCTTGTCTTTTATGTGAAGCTATTTTAAGGGTGTTGGGTAGTTGTGTGTGTGTGTGTGTGTGTGTGTGTGTGAGTCAGTCCATTAGCTTCCGGTCAGTGTGTGTCACTGCTGATGAGAAATAATGGGTCTAAATTAGTCACGGTGAATAATGACAGAATAAGCAGCATTTGCATACCGTCCATTCACTGAATCATAGACACGAGGACACTCCCCTTTCTCTTCTCACAAAGCCCTTTCAATAGCGCGCTTGTGTGTGTGTGTGTGTATATGTGTGTGTGTGTGTGTGTGTGAAGGTGGCAACAGCAGAAGCGACACTCAGCAGTGATGAAATGAAACGTTTTCAAACATTGCAGGTGAAATCCTTTCAAATGGGGCAGAGAGCGGTGGGAGGCCGACAGAACAGCTTTATCCCTGGAGCAAGACGATGGCATCATGTGGGAGAGATGGAGAAACGTTTATCCTGAGATTCTGAAAACGCTTCAGCGTCAGAGTGAAGCACTAATCAACATCCTCCTCTTAGAGAGACTCCCACACTCTCATCTGCTGAACTAACACACCTCTGCCATTAGTGCTTCATGTTCAAGAACCAACATGGTTCCATCCGCCTTCAGATACAAATATAGTGCTTTTTAACCTCATATTGATGCTTTACAGGAATGAGACATGAAGAAAGGGCACAATTCAAGGTTTAATACAGAAAAACCGTCCAACACATCGATCGCCTCTTGACTTCTCAAATGTCAGCAGCACTTGAGGACGTTCTTTATTTATAAAGTGGTAAAAATCATATAAAGTAAATGTCACAAAGTAAAAAAGAAAACACTACAAGCTGTTCTGAAACCTTAGTATCTACTGCATGTGAAAAATGAAAATGACTGTGTGCATCAAACAAATGCAAAAAACACAGATTATACTAAGCTAATGGCATGAAAATACATCGCAAACACACATATTTAGGGTGCAACAATTATAGAAGTGTATGCTCTTGCTTTGTCCGCCATATTACACTGAACTTATCGCACTGCTCTCTGGGAATATCTTTTTATATGCGCCCTTCGAAGTGGAGTCGGAAATATCGTACTATTACTACTAAGTGAGGGGAAAGCAAGTTTATTACTCAGTTTTGGTGATTTGCTGTATGTAACACAAACATTTAGCTGTAACACCATGTATAAGTAACTGAACAAATGAAACAACGTCATTATTTAAAGTGCTTTTTTTGTATTGGTCTAATAGAAAATCATGGTTAAACCGGTTTTGCTCGGTTTGGCTAGAAGAAAAATAATACTCTAACACACTAAAAAAGAAAAAAAAATGTTTAAATACTATTTTTGCTTGACACCACATGTTGATGTTCAGACACTGACAAGATTTTCTGACTTTTCTTGGTAGAATGTAACAGAAAAGATGATGCATATTTTAAAAAAGATGACATTAAGGTCTTTTGAAGAGAATATTCATGTCTTTATTTATAGTATATGGTAAGCTAACACATTTATCATCGTTTTGGTGAAATTAAGTTGTAAAAATAATTGCCAAAAAATAGTTGCCAAATAGTATTGTATATTAATTATATACTATATTATATATAGTATATATGTGACCCTGGACCACAAAACCAGTCATAAGGGTCAATTTTTCGAAATTGAGATTTATACATCATAGGATGGGACAATATTTGGCCGAGATACAACTATTTGAAAATCTGGAATCTGAGGGTGCAAAAAAATTCTAAATATAGAGAAAATCGCCTTTAAAGTTGTCCAAATGAAGTTCTTAGCAATGCATATTACTAATCAAAAATGAAGTTTTGAGATACTTACAGTAGGAAATTTACAAAATATCTTCATGGAACATGATCTTTACTTAATATCCTAATGATTTTTGGCATAAAAGAAAAATCAATAATTTTGACCCATACAATGTATTTTTGGCTTTTGCTACAAATATACCCCAGCGACTTAAGACTGCTTTTGTGCTCCAGGGTCATTAAATTTATAATAAAAAATATTTAGCAATGTAATTTTTAAGTTGATCCAAAGTATCTTTTTTTTTCAGTGTTGAAATGAATAATTTTCATCATTTTGAATGCAGATGATTTTTTGTTTAGGCTAATTTTGTGTTTTATTTTCCTGACTTGGAGGTACGAGGTTCACACACGACCTTGAAAGCAGCATTACATGTCCAAAATGGGGATATCCTAGAGCGACATATTTATGCTGATCTATTCAAACAGATTTCATGTTGGAATGCAATTATGATGCCTTAAAATGCTGCCTATGTAGGCAGCTCTCAATGGAACAGACCCTATGAATATTCGATATCACACTATTGAGAAACAAGCACTACAGAAATGCAAGTGTGCAAATATGATATGGATGTAAAAACTTTGATTCTTTCATGTTTTTGGCTCTGCTCTTCCTCTACATATTTGGTATGAATTAGCTTAAGAGGATATTAATCAAAGTAATTCCCTTTAGCCAAAACCCATTGTTCATAGTTATGGCAATTTAACAAGGCTTTTTTCATCTTAACTGACTTCTATTATAAGAAGCTCTCTATTTATATTAAGACAGCTGTAATGAAGTGCTCGGTCCTCTGAGATCAAAATGGCCTGCGGGAGTAAAATGCGATGGCCAGACTGCTCAGCCCGCAGGGACTCGCTCTCCGACTGGCTGGTCCCAGCTGGCACACACTTCCTACCAGCCCACAGTCACACGCAATCAATGGGCTGTTAAATAGATTTGGTACAAGTCCATTCTGTGCTTTAGTGCTGTAAGACTCCTCAGTGCTGCACTAACAGCAGCAGCATAAGATTCATGAAAAAACCCATCAGCTTCTGTTGCATAGCTGAAGAAGGGCTAGTTTTCACCTGGGGAACGGTTATAGCTTATTAAGTACCGGATTTTGATTCCAAATGTCCAGTTGCACAAATGCTTGTTCTTTCTAGTAATAATTTGGGTGATTTATATTATATAAGGAACACAGCTTAAAAAAAAAAAGGGAACATTTATGGTAAAGTAAAAAAAAATGGCCAGAACTTTACCAAAAACTTTGGTAGCAACATTTTAGGGTTTTATGGATTTGACTTAAATTTACAGTAAAAAAAAACTGATATAAAGTTAATATACCAACCTACTAAAGTATATTAACTAATAACATAACAACATAGGTGGTAAAGAGAAAGGCACATGATGAATCAAATCTCAGCACAAGCCAGGGTTTAGGCTAGTTGACTAAAATTAAAACCAAAACTAAAACCATAAAAGAACATTTTTGGTACTTGAAATAAAATATATTAAATGAATAAAAGAAAATATAAAAAAATCTTTATTTCACAGTTGCTAAAGCAAAATTTTTTTTATTTTTTATTTATTTAATATTTATTTTATTTCATATTAACTCGATGTACTAAAATAACTAAAACTAATGCTGAAAAAAATGTATTCAAATTATATTGTCATATATAAAATAAATAAGAACTACTAAAAATGACAAAACCACATACATTTATTAAAATTGTAACAAAAATTAAAACAGAAAATATTAATATATAATTAATATTAATGAAAATGAATTATATGAATGAATATAAATGAATATATATATATATATATATATATAAAAATAAAAACTGATTCTAAATATGAATAAAAACTAGTATTTCAATGATACTAAAGTAACATTGGCACAAGCTGAGATAAATATTAATATATAGAATTTGCACCAACACCATCATGGTAACACAAGTGACACTAAAATAATGCAATAAACAGCATTCATTTAACAACATAAGATAACATAATACCCTAATGTACATAACTGATAGCAAAACACTAAGATGAAACATCATTATTTAAATGAAAACCCATCAAATGTGAATTATCACAGGAAATAAATTTAGAGTTTTTCCACTGTAAATCATAAGATGATGTGTTCTTTTTGACTTCCAAAAACTGTAAATTTGACTGTAAAATTAGATGAAATGTCCCATTGGATCTATCACAGTTTTCACTGTGTACAGAAATGTAAATAACGGGATTTACCATAGCTTTTTTACAGTATTTTACCATTAACATTATGAACGTTTTTAGGTAGACTTGAAGGATTGTGTCGATACAGAAAATGGCATTAAAAAAATTGAAATATTCCCTGGAGAAAATATGTGACAACCAGCCCCAGTCTTTCCCATACCTAAGTGTTTTCTGCCATTTAAATGGAAACAAAAATATTCAATGTGTCAGTGCAATCTATACTATCGTTTCTTTGCAAATCGCATGAGCAACTCATCAGACAGAAATGTCCAATAGAACAGCTCCGTTCAATTTGCTCTTTATATCAGCAGTGAAATGTGTAACTCTATGGGCTGATCAATATGCAATCTCACAGGCCTGGAGGGGTTACAGCATTCAGACACATCACTCGATACAGCCTTGACAAAGACAGCGCCTCGAGCCATAGCACTCAAAAAACACTTTACATAACCTCAGAGCAACGGAAATACTTATATATGTAACACAGACAACGTGTTGTTATTGTCGAATGACCCCAGCGAGAGGACAGGAGATCGGTGGGTTCGAGTAACTCACATGTTAGTGTTGGCAGTAGAGGTGAGCCATTCTCCAGCCAGACCGATGATGTCCAGACCAGATGAAAGCTGATTGAAGAATCTAGGATGACCTAGAAGAAGAGATTTGACAGGAACTATAAGTACAAATTGCAAATACATACTCTTTAATATCATAAAATGAAACAACCAGACCAAAAGACTGTTGTTGAAAAGTTTGAGGTCAGTAGGATTTTTTAATGTTTTTGAAAAAAAATCTCTTATGCTCACCAAGGCTGCATATATTTGATCAAAAAATACAGTAATATTGTGAAATATTTTTTACCACTTAATATAACTGCTTTCTATTAATATATTTTAAAACATAATTTATTCCTGTGATGCAAAGCTAAATTATTATCATCGTAACTCCAGTCTTCAGTGTCACATGATTCTGCAGAAATCATATGAATCATATGAATATGAATCATATGAAATCATAATCTAATATGCTTGATGCTCAAGAAACATTTCCGATTATTATCAGTATGCATAGAAAGAGAGTTTATTATATATATATATATATATATATATATATATATTTATTTATTTATTTATTTATTTTTTGGGGGGAAATGATAGAAATTAATACTTTTATTTAGCAAGGATGCTTTAAATTGATCAAAAGTGACGATAAAGACATTTATACCATAATACATTTTTTATAGGATTCTTTGTTGAATACAAAGTTCAAAAGAACAGCATTTATTTGAAATAAAAGTGTAATAAATGTTTTTACTGACACTTTTGATCAATTTAATGCATCCCTGCTGAATACAAGTATTATATTCTTTAAAAAAGAAAAAATCTTAAACTTTTGCACGGTACTGTATATAAAAACAGTGATATCACCAGGGTTTCCAAAAGTATTTGTGGCCCCACTTGAAAATGCAGTTTATTGCATTAGACAGTAAATATCAAATCAAGTGACTGTGGTCATTAGATCATTAGCTTTCTCCGTTTGCTGTCATATATTACCTATAAATTTAATTATAAGCAATAAACTCATTTGAAATCACATTGAATTTAAATTGCTCAACTGTAAACATAACAATTTCCAAAACTGCTCTTTTCAAATGATCAAGATCTAACTTGTGTGAATAAATAGGAAGAACCTGTCATAAATGAATTATCATATAATATCATAATCAGCTCAAATCTATGTTGTCAGCTGTAAATGATATTAATTAAAGTTAAAGCTTGACTGGTTGGATGATTGGACGGTGTGGTAATTGCTCCATGGGCCTGTACCTGTTCTGACTCCATACTTGAGCGTGTCTCTGCAGTCCACCAGGATCTGCTCCAGCGACTCTGGTTGGTCAGACAGCTCCAGGTTGAAGCCCTCCATCCCCTCCAGGAGCTGGTGAGGGTGATGGAAGTCCAGCACTTTGGTGGATCTGTCGAAGGTCTTGCGCACATAATTGGTGAGGATCTCCACCACCTCGAGAAGAAACTGGATTGTGGGTTCCTCGCCATTTTTAGCAGGCAGTAGATCTGGAATGGAGTGAGCCAACATGTGAGTCAGCATATTTTACATAGCTATGGTTTATGTGCAATGTGAAGCAATAATAATAATAATAATAATAATATAGTGGAGGTGAAAAGTCTAAAAACCCACACTAAAAATTAGGGATTTTTTTCCCATCTAATCCTTAAAAATACCTGGTTCTGATTTTGAAATAATTAAGAAAAATATCATTAAAAATAAAGAGATTTTAAGATTCTGCATTATTTATAGGTCAATAATCAGTAACTGACACTGATCATGTTTCTGCATGGAAATGCATAAAATTCTGAAATAAAAAATAAAACTTAATAAATTAATAAATTAAAATTTATCTATCTATCTATCTATCTATCTATCTATCTATCTATCTATCTATATTGCTGATATATGTGCTCATGGTTTTAGCTTACAATAATATACGAACAATCAAATTTCATCTCTTTATCTTTTAAGTGTTTGATTTAGATGAAGCAAGAAAGCATTAGATTCAGAAGTTTAACACTTTCTGGCATATATGTGCATACAGCAGCGTATGAAAACATGATTCAGAATGAGGTTTGTCGTTACCTCGAGCGAACAGGTTGGAGAAGTCTGTCTCTGCGCGCATGAAGCGCTCGCTGTTGTCACACATCTGGTTCTTCGCGCTCTCCTTGAAGGCGCCCACCATCCGACTCTTCTCATCCAGACTGTTGTTCTTCTGCAGGAAACCTGCATCATTACAACACGGGGAAGAATTGCAAAACATATCCTCAGCCTTGATTCTGGATGCTAGAGGGAAAAAGGTGTATCTCCAACCAGTTGCTTTAACATAAGCAACTAAACAGCAGGCTTGCTCTCTGATATTTACACCTAAGGGGGATTCCAGTGGTTGGAGTTTTAGTAGGACATCGCTATTTATGGGTTGCTGGAGGTTCAGAGGTGTTACTGTAGCCATGCCATCAGAGGACATGTAGGGTGTGTGTTTTTTGGATCATGAAACACTGTTGAAACACGGTGGAGTCTGGGTCTGTCATCCTTCACAGATTCCGCTTGACTGACTAGATGATCCATGCCATTAACTGCCGACAGGCACATTCAGTACACCGAAGCTCCCATCTATCGAGGATACTTTATTGCAGCATCTTACGTGATCATGGACAAACAGGTTTAGGCAAGGCTTAAAGACCCAATTATATTTAAAAATAAAGGTTGTTTATTGGCATCGATGGCTCCATGAAGAACCTTCAAGGATCCATTAAAGGTTCTTTATAATGGAAAAACGTTCTTTAGATTTTTTAAATGTTCCAAAAATGGTTATTTTAAGAACTGATCACTTTGGGGAACCCAAATGGTTCATCAGAAACCCGATTTGGAACCTTTATTTTTAAATGTGAAAGAGAGCAAACACCTAGCAATACAAAATATGTATATTTTTCAATCATAATTCATAGGCTACATTTTGTACTGACTGGTTTTATTTATGGAGGACTGCTTAGAGCCACTAAATATTGTAAAACATGGGTCATAGATGGTTGGTAAGATTATAAAGAATATTTCTCAATATTTAACAGCATATTTCCTTAGAGTATCCGTCTTTCGGTCACGAGGGCCGGGCTGTCTTCGCGTTATCTCTCTCATTTTGAGCAGGACTATCACACAATATTATCAGAGAAAACAGACCCCCGTTCATACTCCCCTCTGCCCACCATGCAACCCATCTCTCTCATTCAGGCTCGGTTCTGATAAGAGCTAATGACTATTCGATGTCGTAAATCTTTGGCGATGCGCTGAACATCAATAGGCGACACGATTTTAT